ACGTTATTAAATTAATTTATATATATAATATTATAAATTTTAAAAAAATAAAAAAATTATTAAATAATATAAATTTTATCTTTTAGTATTTAAATGATATGAGATATATCACATTATTAATTTTAAAATTTAATTCTATTTATTATTATCCCTATGATTTATATTTATATAAAAAATATATTATGCTAAACAGTATTAGTCGTTGCACTGATGAGAATCCTATGTGCCTAATGAAGAGATGGTCCAAGACGTAATATGGAAATAAAAAGGTGATCACGGAGAAAATATGGGACTTGGATTCGATATTAATTGGGAATTGTTTTTTATATAATTTTTTTGTTTTATTTTTTTTTACCATTTGATGTATTATTAAAATAATTAATTTTTTTAATTTATATGTAATTTATAATATTAAATATATATTTATTTAATTTTAATTATGTATTATTTAAATAATTAATTTTTATTTATTTAAAATTTATAATATTAAATACATTTATTTATTTAAAAAATATAAAACTATATAAAAAAATTAATCTTTATATCACATTACCGCTACCCTATCTTCTATTATAAGAAATAAGACACCTAAATAAAATTATAAGACACTCTTATTTGATTTAATTCCAGGGTCGCCGACCCCTGGACCCTCTGAGAGGAAAAAGCCGCCGCCGCCTCGCCTTGGGTCTCCTGGAGATCGCTATGCGTGTTAGGTTTCTCCTGGAATTAACTTCGTCGGCCCTCAAGTTGATTGAAAAAAGACAAAACAAAACAAAAAACAACACCACCAAAAAAATTTTGTGACCTTTTCTTGGACATGGACTAATCGTAGTGATGAAGGTTGGTACGTCTATCTTCCTCCCTCTGCGTTTTCAATGACTGGGAATTAATTTTTCGTTCCTTACAGTTACCTAATTTTCTTATTGACAAGTAATTTTAATTAATATTTTATATATCATATAATGATAATAATTAATATTTTTTTTATTTTGATTGCACAATGAAAAACAATTATTATTTATCCGTTATCCCATCACACTCACATATCAAGCATTTGAACTCAAAACCTCTTACTTCCAACGAAAATAAATTATTACTAAATTATTTAAATAGTTGACAATTAATATATCTTTTAATTTAATATATTTATTAATATTTATCGATTCAATTATTAAATTTTATAAGTAAAAATTTTTTATTTTAAATTTAAATTTAAAAATAATAATTTTTTAATAAATGTAAGTTGAAGTGTATTAAATTAAAAAATACATTCGATATCCATAAATAATTAAAAATTAATTAATAATGGATGCATGTGTGATTGTGGTGAAGAGTTAACCCCAGCTCCATACCACCGTACCCACTACCATGACATTTTCCATACATATATATTCTCATCTACTGTACAAGTTAGTTAGATTAGCTTGGTCATAGGTGTGTTAATCAAAAAAACAAATATTCATCAATTGCCAATGAAATTTTAACCTATGTTAAAAAAACAGTGTAAAGTAATATGGGTCTCTATGACCAAGGGATTTATTAGAAATTCAATCCTAAAAGTCTTCGCAAAACAGTGAGATCATGTTCCCAGCTAATTAATTCATAAAGCTAACGCAAAAAAGATCAGTTGTCACACATTCCATCCATAGAGGGGAAATGGCACATGATCCCCTTAGTTTTACATTGGGATTTTCAATTGGGTCTCCCTAACTTTTGATATATATATGTTTCAATAACTAATTATCCTTTTATATTTCGTAAGTGTTTTTTTTTTGTTATAAAATAGATGGGAAAACGACAAAAAAAATATTAAAGAACAAAAAAAATTTCTTTTTACGAATGTACAGACCTTTCTTTCATCTTTATCATCCAACTTTTTATTTGATATTTAAAAACCTATTAAGAACTAGAGATAGATTTTTAATGAAAATATCTAAACTATTAATGATCTATTAATCCAAATAAAAAAAGTTCAGTATTTTTTTAAAATAAAATTTTGATTTTAAGTTTTATAAATAAAAAAATAAATATTGAAAAAAAAATTTCATTATAAAATCTGAAATGACTCAATTTCAAATTAATTGAAATTTAATGTAATTTTTGAATTTTGAAGAATTAATACCAAAGAAATAAAAATATTTGAAATGATCATATATCAATCCATATTTGTACTGAAAGGTAACATGCTAGCATTAAAAAAAAAAACATAAAATTTTATCCTTAATCAGTACTCTTTTTACATTATTCTATTGGAAATAAAAAATAATAATGATCAATCAAAATTATATTATGTTGGGAAATTACTACCATATATTCTTTTTACTTGTTTTGACATTGGGTAGCTAGGGGAGATTCAAATCTGTCTGAAAGGAGAATTCATGTACTTGACCAATAATTGTTGCTAGCTCAATGCTTTTCTTTTAATGTACTTTATACTCGCTAAACAGTAAGCCCATATTTGGGTTAAAGGAAATAGGGGAGGGAAAAGGAGGAGAAGAGAATTATATATATTTATTTTTCTTTTTTTCTCTTTCCTCATTTAAATA